ATATAGTCACAAAATTGGTCATTGAAAAAGTTTACTTTTCAAATAAAAATCTGCTAATATTGATTTGTAATAGAAATTCTAGTACGTTTGGACATTTCTTCTGCTTGGTGATTTTTGCACTGTGCTTTGAGAAGTGGGATTCTCTGCACATACAAATGATAATGATGGTACTATTTCCTCAATTTTGATAGATTTCTTAGATCAGATTATCATGTAAATACACCTTTAGGATGTAATATAGAGTATTCTTTCCAGTTCCTTGGATTTAAGCAATTCTCCAGAAAACTTGGTCCCAGTTTCTGTGGGTTTCTCTGGCAGTACAAACAACCTTTGATCACTTTCTGGTTTGAAAATGTGGATGGAGTATTGCGTGCACGCCTTTGTCATGGCTGAGGAAGTCCCAGCCTCCCCTCTGCCGCTCAGACAGGTGTAGAACACATTCCCTCAGACAGGTACCTCCCTCAGCAGGACTTTTTCTTGTGAATAATTTAATTCTGCATTCTGTTTTTTTATTGTAGCTACAAAAAACATTTGGAGCCAAAACTATTTAATTAGCAGCCAATTTTTTTTGTACATACTATTAATACCTTTTTCTGAAGACAATAGGGACAAATAATTGCCTCACTAAATGGAGTATTTGGGAGAAATTTTTCTAAATATCAAGGTGGCATCTATCTGAAAGAGTCTAATTGCAAGAGGTATTAAAAAGGGAAAAGGGTCCTGTCCAGGGTTCTCCTGCTTCATGTCAAAAATTGTCACTAAAAATCAGATGTTCTATGTGAAAGCGCTGACTGGGAGCCCAGTCCTCGTTATTTTAAGGGGGAAACTTATGATGTATTACACATAAGCCTTAAGTGCCCTACCAATTTCCTAAAACATATCTATAATACAGAAAACTCCTTGTGATTATTAGGTAGGAATTTTGGGAGCCAAGTTTTTATCTTATCCTGTTTTCCTTGAATTCATCATTTTGATCAATTCCAGACAGGATGGATGGAACAAATACAGAGCAGAGAAAGAAGTCATAGAAACCTTAGAGTTTCTATGACTAACACATGTTGAACAGAGTGAAATTTGTCAGTGTCCCTAAAAATATTTTTTTTAACTTTATTGGCTCTTTAAAATTTCCACAGAATATACATTCATTTTATGCCAGACAATGTAATACAGGGGTATGTACAGAAAGTGTTCATTATCTCCTCCTTATCAACCTTTGGTACTTTTGGTAACCACGTCTTATACTTTTATAAACATACAGAAATCTACATAAAGCAATTTTCTCTTTTTAAAGTAGCTTTGAAAAAATTGAAAAACGGCATCGCACCATATACATTACTCTGGAACATGTTTTTTTAACCAAGATATCTTAGCTATCCTTTACAGGATATAGATCCAGCTCTTTTTTAAAAAATAGGAACATATCCCATGATATGAATGGAGCAGACCTTATTCTGCTATCCTCCCCTCCCCCGATGCACACTGCAGTTGTTTCTAATTTTGTCTTTAGGATGTTGCTGTAATAAATGTCCTCAAACTGATGCTTCTATTTCTGCCAGGCAGAGTCACAAAAGTACAATTATTAAGACAAAGGATGTGTGTGTTTTACATTTTCTCACAATTATGAAGGCACTCCCTGCCCCACCTGTGAGAACACCCTGCAGCATCGGGTATCACCACTTTCCTCAGCATTTGCAGTGTGAGGGTGAAAATGATATGGCATTGATGTGTTTGCCTTTCTGTACTATTAATAAAGTTGAAGATCTGCATATTTTTATAGGCCATTTGCATTTCTTTTTCTGTGATTTGCCTATTTTATTTCAAAGCCAACCTGGTGCACATAAAGAGCAGTTTATGTAGTACAAATGAGTTGCCCAACCAGATTCTGTTGTGCAAGCACATTAAGATCATACTGCCTTGGTGATTTCTTCATTCAAGAGTGACTGCGAAGAGTTAGGTCTCTGGTGTTTTGGGGCAAGATAGATTTAATCAATGATAGACCATTCAAATATTAAACATGGGTCCATAAATTTAATCGTTCACAGATATTAGTAGAGTGTGCTCTGAATCAAGGCTCTAATAAACACCATTAATATACACATTTTTCAAACTGTGCCTGAGGCTAGAACAAAAACATAATGCACTTACTGACTTGAGTGTAACTCTTATGTGACTGTGTAACTATGCAGTACCTTTTGATGCACATATTTGATGGAGCTACCAGTTTGCATGATACATTTGTTTTTGTATTTGTCTGTATTTATTTGCACCTAGTGCTGCAGCACATCTCTTGTCATTGTGACCCGATGGGATAAATGGCACGCACTACATTATGGCTGTTAGGGGCATTAGGATATGCTGCTGATTGAGGAACTTTCACAGAAGTGAAACACTTTTCTAATGATGCACATGTTTATTTTATATGGATCCTGAAAAAAGATAAGGTGCGATGAAAGCAGGGCAGAAGATGGCACTGCCGTGTGAGAAGGGAGGAGCCACTGAGCAGCCAGGCTCTCCACGGTGGAAGCTTGAGCACCCTTCCCCACTCCCAAGGGGTGTTCTGCTTCCCCTTAATAGCTGGACAGAAATCACTTCCAGGGGTCCATTAATGTGACTAAAATCGTCTGACAGCCTGGACTTTGAAAAGGCTTCCCTCCTACTGAAGGGCGTGAGCACAAGGTGCAGGCATCTGGCTCGTCCAGTAGAGCCGTTGCTGTCCCTGCCATGCCCAGGCCCGTCTCACTGCACCCTTTGCCTGAGACCATGTGTTCCTGCACTCCCCTGCCTGGGGAAGTGGAGAGACCACCTGGCTTCAGATCTTACCAGCTGTGAGATCTTGGTCCTCTCCAACCTCACCTTGGTCGCCTCATCTATACAGTAAGGGGATAATAATGGTACCTGTTCCGTAGGATTAAAGTACAAGTAAAATGCTTAGCATCACTCCAGGTGCACCCTTAATAAATGGCAGCTCCTGTTCCTTCAGCCTCTCCCACTCCTCTGCACCCTGCCCCTGCAGCAGCCAGCCACGTGGGCTTAAACACCACCTTTCCAGAGCACACAAGGCAGCCACCTCTGGGCTACTTTCTGGCATCAGGCCCTTCACAGCCATTCCTCTGAAGACCTGTCTGCAGTCCTGGCTTCACTTCCATTCACTCTGCCTTCTAGTTCCATCTTGGGCCTGCCCCCGCAGCACGTGTGGTTCACTCTCATCTCCGCAGCCTGTCTGCAGTGTTGGTCACAGCTGAGCCCTTCCTTCTCAGGTCCTGTGTCTTCTCATGCTCTGCTTGTGTGCCTCCTGTTGTCTGCAGTTCTTCCTCCTCCTCGGCCTGCCACCTGCCGCCTGCGCACTATGTTCCCAGGGACTCTGGCCCTCTCCTCTCCCCACTTAGCACTCCCTTCCTCAGAGTTCTCATCCATTCTCAGCACCTTGCCTGCCAGCTGACACCCCCGAGTGTATACCTTCAGCCCAGACCTGTCCCAGAACTTGCAACTTGGATATTCAAGCACCTATTAGTATCTCTGCTTGGTAGTGCCTCAGACGTTTCAAATCCACACCCCCTCAAGCTGAGCTCTTAGTAATCCTCCACAAATCTTTCCATCTTTTCATCTGAGTAAATGTTACATCCAGCACTGAGGGGTTGTGGGCACCATGGCAGTTCTTTGCCAGGTGCAGCAGGTGGGTAGATGGGGGAAGGGGCCCTGCTGGGGGTCCCAGACAGTTGAAGCTCGGTGCGAATGTGAGGCCAGAAGAAGGCTCTGAGGTGGACGTGCCCCACCCTCATCTTGCCAGCTCCTCCGCAGCCCCCCCATCCTCAGCTTCCTCAGCTACTCCTCTTGCCCCAGGGTCAACCTAGTACAAGGTCTGCAGGAGTCACACTGAGTGAGAAGAAAAAGCAAAACTATTGGCACCTGCATCCCCACACCCCCTCCTCTGTCCCTTCCTGCCCCTGGACCCAGTCCTTAGGCCTCACCCCAGCACTGCAGAGAAGTGGCCCAGGAGTTGTGGTGAAGGGACAGGCACCAAAGGGGTTGTTGGGTGTTGGAGAGCCTTTGCCGCAGCTCTGGTTTTCCTTATGAATAGCAGTCGGCACAGCCTTGGCAGCACCCTGCTGTCTGGGATGCACACGTAAAGGGCAGGAAGCCCTAGGGGGTGGCTCTTTGTATCCCAGAGCCACCACCACAGTCTCAGACATGTGCCCCATCACGCTCCCTCTCAAGAGGGGTAGTGGAGCCCCAATTCACTGACACAGAAGGACCTCCAAATATCCTTTTCCTGTAGAAACGTACCTGCACAGAAGGGTTATGTGTTTAGAGTATCATACTTAAAATCCACTATGTGTCCATCAACTAGGCCATAACCACCGTATATGAAATTGTTAATAAAAATATTTAACTTTCAAGCAACAGATTTGTAAATATGGTTATTGAATATTTACTATGTGCCAAACACTGTGCTAATCGCTGTCCATGTGTTAATTGCATTTTATCTTACCAACAGCACTATGAAGGAGGTAGGCCCATTTTACAGATGAATAAACTGGTTTAGAGGTTACGTAACTTTCCCAAGGTCATACAGTTAGTAGGTGGTGGCTCTGAGACTGAAACCTAGGTCTGATTCTATACTTTGAACCACTTTGATGCAATTTCAAACATAACTATTTCTTAAGTTAGGGACTGGATGATCACAAGGCCTTTTTCCATCTCATTTTTTATCACTCTGTTTTTCTTCCATCACTGTATATTTGCTTATCCTTTGTGGAGGCAATTTTTTTTTCCTGAGCATTTCTCTGATTTCTTAAGGTGAGTTGAAGTGGAAACATATTCACATTATTTTGCAAATGAGTACTTGGTAAATATTCACTGATACTATAAATATTAACTGCTGCTTTGACCACGATGAGAAGTTGTTTCACAAATTGGATTAGCAATTGCATTTTGAACTTTCTTAATCTTTTTTCAGTAATCCATTTCTGTTTAAAATTTTGTTTATTTCTTGCTGAAAGGAAGAAGATTTCTCTCCCCACGTCAGCTATAGTCTGCCTGTGGCTTCGGCACCTTCCCAGCCTTGAAAAAGCAACGCTGCATCTTTTTGAAAAGCTAATCTCCAGTGAGAGAAATTGTCTGAGAAGGATCGAATGCTTTATAAAAGATTCATCGCTGGTACGTGCTGGGCTTTGATGAAGGGAAGAATCCTTAAAGGAGGTGCTGGGAATCATTTCTTTTAGTCAAAGAATAAAAAGGACGGGGGGGATGTAGACAAAAGACCAATTGAAACCTTTAAAAGTAATTGTGTATTTACATCTTATTTTAAAAATGCTAACGTCGGGGGCTTCTCTGCGTGCTCGGAGCGGCAGGGAGAGCGTTGTGATTTCCTTGATTGGCGTGCGGCGTATTCCATATTCACAGGAACAGACATTTGGACACGAACTTTACAAACAGCATTTTGTATTTCAACATGAAAAGAAAGTTTTTAGAAGATCTTATGGATGAGAGGAGGAATCAATTAACAAAGGAAAACATTCAAAAAAAAAATAAACTTAGCTCTTTACTAGAGGAAAAATAAAACACTCGAGAAAAACAAAACTAAACCCCAGAAAAATGGCTAAAGCAACAAAACTAACTAAGACTTCTGTTAAGTTTTCTTTTGGTGGGAGGCCGCCTGCCTTAAAACCTCCTTGTGCAGCAGCTCTGGGCCCCTTGTCCCTCAGGACTGTGAAGTCGGGGCGCAGGGGCCGTGTGGGCCTCCGTCGCCTGACCCAGTGTCGGGCAGTGCTCAGAGCCTGACTGACGAGTCGGGGTATTTCCCTCTGCGGGAGGCAGCTCTGTGGAATATCAGCACAGTTTTGTAAAAACAGGGATAGAAACCAATGCATTCTGAAAAAACAACTTAAAAAAAACCATAAATGTCATGGTCCCTCAGGGTCTGTCTTCCAGACACCTCAGAGAACTTTGACATGTTTTCTCGTTAGCTTTTGTGGGGATTCGGCACAGAGTGTCTTCCTGTTGTACAGATGGAGAAAGTTCAGAGAGCCACGGTGAACAGCCAGGTTTTCAGTCGGTGGCCGAGACACTGGGAAGGAGGGGGGTTCACCTCTCGGCTCATCCGTAGCCAAGATTGAGAAGGCTCTGAGGCTGGCTGTGCTCACTTGTCCTGAGCTCAGACAACCCTCACTTCCCAGACACCTTTGATTTGTTTGATCTAGTTGGGACTTCTTGTGTTCGTTCTCTCTTTTTCAGGTTGGAGTCTGTGTAAGGGAATCATAATTGAATCAGTTGCTTCTTCCTCCATCCTGTTTTCCTCCACCAGGGCCTTGCCTGGCCTCCCTTGTTTCACGAACTCTCTCTGCCTTGTGTTCTGGGGCCTCCCAAGTGATGGTGCTGCCGTCCCTAATAGCCATGCTACTGACACCTGCGCATTAGGCGGCACAGACTGAACCCAACTGATCTGAACGTTTATAATGTTTGATAGAAAAACAAAAGAAAGAAGACAGGTATATTAATACCGAGAGAGCCCAAAGAAGATATTTTTTAAGGATAATCACTACCTGACCTCATTCTTCAAAAGAATTGTGTATTAAGGCAAGAAATAGGAATGCACCTTATTTAAAAATAATTACAATAAAAAATAAAAACTTCAGGAGCCCTCTGGCAGCCGATTCCAGATGATTATAGATAATAAATTACCTTTATTGTCTGGTAAAACTCTATTTCTAACTTAAATGTGCATGCTATAATTTAAGTTCATCTTCTCTGGTCCTTTTTCAGTGGCAAAATATAGTAACTGGGCTGTTTGCTTTCTCCCAGGGTGCTTATAAAATTCAAGTCTTCTCCCTATTGAAAAAGTCCAGTCCTTTTACCTTTTCTGCAACCTTTCCTTGATCCTTGTGGTTCTTCTCTGAACCTTCTCCGTGTCCTTTCTACCTGTGGCCCTCAGGCCTGAGCAGCACTAGTGACAGTGAGCACAGCGGGTAGGAGAGAGAGAAGCAGCCCTCCCATGCGACACTACCCCGTGTAACACTCAGGCTCCAGTTCGCCGTCTACAGTGATCTCCCTCCGGTCAAAAAGCTTTGCAGGCAGTTGATTTACAAAAGCTTTTTATCAGGATCATGTGTGTAGAGATCCCGCGTTTCCATTATGGTTAAAGGGGGATTCTAGAGGGTGTTATTTGGTTTAATTTATTGTGGCATTGGCAGGATGTGACCTCTCTGCCTCATGGTTCAAGGAGGTAATTACGATACAGACAATGAGCTGGGAGCCCTGATTGGCGTGGGGCTGTTCTCCTCCAGCATCCTGGGCCTGCGGTGCCAGAAAGCAAAGGAGCCCGGACTAAGCCTGTGACGTGGCCAAGTGATTGCAGGGTAACCTGAAGAACCTGCTTCCTAATTGCATCATCTGATTCACTTATCGCACTGCAGTATCTTGGTGCAGTGACAGGACCGTACCAAAGTACCGGAGAGATCTCTAGGACTCAGATAGCACAAGACTGCTGTGCTTTGCTCCAGAAGAAACCTGATGCCTATTACATTAGAGTTGGATTCTGAGAGTAATTAAAGTGTGATGGTCTGTATAACTTGTGTTTTATATGGAGCACTGTTAATTATATGTCCATCTCTTGGGACTATCCAGAATGAGTCCTGGAAATTCTATAGTTACCAAAATGTAACGAAAACAAAAGATAAAAGTGCAGTACAGGTTGTACAAAGTAAAATGACCTCCCCAAATGTTCCTGAAACTCACAGACCTGGTATTAAGACTATGAATAATAAGGGACTAGTCTAATATCACCTGGATTCTAAATACATATATATGTATTTGACTCCTAAAATAAAAATAAGTTTTCAAAACCTAAACACTTTTGAGGCTTCCCCTTTGGCTTCATGGGCTGGACTGCCCTCAAGCACACGGCTGCCTGTCACAGTTGGTGGCTCCTAAATCAACCGAGGCATTAACCCTAGTTTGTCATTTACTATACAGACTGAAACTTTTCAAAAGCAGATGGTCTTGTGTTTCCCTTGACAGCGCAGGCCCTGGAAGACCATAATCCATAGCTTCAGACCTGACCTTAAAAACTGATGTCACCAAAAGCAGTGAAAGCCACTTGCTAATTATGCAGCTTTCTTGGCACCGTTCAGTTTCCCAAGGCTGGTCCTGAATCAGAAGGATGTTATGTTTTCCAGTTACAATTCTGTTTGTGGAGCCCAGAAAGCTATTGTTCAGATTCCACGTTTGAATGAAAAGTGCTGGTGGGTGGCAGGGTGGCACTGTGCTTGGCTGCTGAGCTGCACGCCAGAGCCGGGAGGTACCCTGGTTCCCATGCCCTCTCATTCACTCCTCTGCCAGCTGACCCCACCTGCCACTGCATCCAGAGGAGCTGCCCCCTCACCTTCCCAGGCAGATTTGCCCCTGGAGGAAAGAGGACAGAGGAGGCATGCTGGGGAGCACCCAGGAGGCAGGATTGTTTTGTTTTTGTTTCACTCAGATTTCCAGTCAGAGAATACTACTGTTTTTCTCTTCTATCTAAAAGTCTTAATAGCTCAACTGTAAGTATTACCTAATAAGAGCTTGAGAGCAAAAAGCATCCAAATACCTCAGTGTCCTCTCCTCCATGTGAGATAGGGTGCATTCTTTTCCTTATTCTCCAGATAGCAATTGTAGCCACTTCAAAGAGAAAAGGAAACCTCCTTTACACAAAATCCCAATGCACAATTTCTCCTTAGTAAAATATCATACTGAAGAACTAACTCCTCATCCTGGATGATGTCAGTTTTCTGTGCTTGAATAGCTTTTCACGAATATTCGAAGGTTTTCTTTTCCTGATTTTTCATTAGCAGTCTTTTTAGCACTTCCTTTTCGAGCTTTTTAAGGTGCTGCATATAATTTAACAAGAGCTGAAGTGGATAATTTAGCAGTGGTGGAGTAGGAAGGTGTGGTATGTCTGTGGCCAAAAGCTGAAGGGTTTGCATCTTGGACTGTAGTTGCACTTTCCAGTGTTGGCCTCAAGGGGGCACCAGATCCCCCAGCATTGTCTCTGTAGAGAAAGAGGCCCAGATGGCAACTTCTGTTGTCACTGGTGGGGATGCAGGGTGTTGAGATCAGTCAGGGATGAAGGGGAAGAAGAAAAAATCCAAAAACCGAGCAGGAGCGGCCAGGAGGTCATGAGGGCGGGAGCTGTCATTGCTACTCAGAGGCTGAGCTGAGAAGCAGCAGGGGACTGGGGAGCTTTCTTCCTGCCCAGCTCCACCACCTAACTGCATAGAGGCTGCTGGGCACAGCTAGAAGGGGACTTCAGACTTGGAGAGTTTTTGTCCTTCATCCAGAGCGGGGCATCCCTGTGCCTTCCCACACGTGCTTCCCACTTCTGTGTCTGAACACTCAGAACACGTGTAAATTTAAAACGCAAAAGTACATTTGGTACTTGTTAAGTTCTTAAGCCCAGGAATGACAGATTTATCACTAATTAAACAATAATTGCATTATGGAGTACTGAAAAAATTGCTTGTGTATAAACAACATCTGGTAAAGATTAAAAAGAAAGAATAATTTTTCCAAGCTCAAATTTGTTGAAAGAAACCTGAATGTTTTAAAACAAAATAGATTCTAAGTAAAGGGGATATTTAGAGTTTTGTGTTTAGCATTTTGAACATAGAAAAGAAGAAAATGGCATAATAAAAATACATATTTGTAAAGGTGCCTCATATTATGTAATAGATGTGAAGGTTTTATAGAAGTAGATTTTTTTAAACCAAATCATTTTTTAACTCAATAAGGGAGTTTACTGTTGAAATGAATATTATGGGTAAATTGGAGGAAAAGCTTCTTGTCAGCTCATTTCTTCAAATGACCATTTCCTGAATAAAATACTTAATGTACATTAAGATAAACTATGAAAGAGAATGATTCCAAGCTTAATGAACCTCACCTTCTTCTCTCTCATTTGCTATTCTTTATTTTTAAGGAAATAAACAGAACGATAGAAGAAAAGGACTTGAAAATTTTTTCTGTTCTTTCATTGCCTTTTTATTTTTTATAAGAGACATTCACTTTTGTCTGTGAATTATCTCAAATCATAATATAATTTACCTTTCTGGTTTTCTCTCACTCCCCCTTTCCTTATACTTACTTTCTTTTTCTCTCTTTCTCTCTCACACACAGAATCAGAAAGTGATAGAAAAAAATAAATATTTCTTCCTGAGAATTCCGTTCTTTGTGTTCTCAGACCTCTTTCAAGTGACAAGTGGCTTGTAATAATCACTGATGAAAATAACAGCTTAAGCAAATATCAAGGGCAGAGCTCAAGGATCAATGTTGTTTGCACAGTTCATGGTGCAGAGTGACAGGTTGGCCTGTCCCTTGCCTCTCATCCAAAATACAGGAGTAGAGAACATTGTTGTGTGTATTTAGTCCATATTGACTTTGTCTTCCCTTTTTTTGTTGAGGGATGAGAGTGGGCTGTTCTCTAGATAGAGAGGAGGCACACAACACAGTTCTGGGTAGCCGGGGGGCATATTGGGGGGCAAGCTCCTCGTGGGCTGAAGGGGGTGCACACCCAACAGGACAGTCTGGTCCATGAGAGAAGGAAGGCAAAGGCCCAGAGCCCTCCATCATCATCTTCTATTCATCCTCTGACATTTAGTGGAGGGACTGGGAGAGGGAAGAAGGACAAAATTCATGTTACTGATGGCCTCCTGGTGACAGAGTTTCCCTAGACTTGAAATGATCCGTATATGAACATTATTAGGCCAGATGGAGAAGAGAAAAGCTTGAGAAAGAACAGATTTTGGTAGGATGGAGAAAAACAAACAGATGGAACCCAAGAAAGCTTTTCTTTCCTTTCCTCATTTTTATAGGGACAATAATTGCCCAGATTGTGGGACCTCAGGGCCAGGCTCCAGAGCCCGGGGTTGCAGAGTGACCTGTGGTGTGTTACTGGAGCATCTCATGCTACAAATAAAACAGGACACAGAGGGGATAGATGTTCGCCCCATCACTCATGAGAATGCTGTAAAGACTTAGGGGAGAAGAAAGCTTCCAAAGAAGTGTGTATCCAAACTTCTATTTGGAAGATCCTCTTGATAAGAAAAGCAGCTTAAGTTTGCTTTTGTGATTTGCTGTCACTGAGACACATGCCTGACCTGTGAGCATTCCAGTCCTCATGGGGGGACTCGCTGACCCTGAAATTATGTGCTCAGAATGTAGAAAGAATCTCATTTTAAAAACTCTCAGTGTAGGGTACAGATGAGAAATTGCTGTTCAGAGCTCTGGGGTGGCAAGGAAAACTAGTTTTAAATTAGAAAATCTCTACCATTGCTGTTTCAGCAGGGTTCCCCTGCCACCTGGCATCTTATCTGTTTTAAAGGCTAAAACAGGTTGTGGAAGCAGTTTGAAAGTAGCCAAGGGTCTGAAATATTTAGAAAGAAAGAAATCTAAGAGAAGAGTCCATCTGCATGGGGAGAACAAGCAGATTCCACACAGCCTGGAGACATTTAAAACATTTGATTGAGCTGTTTTGCTAGAAAACATTGCATAAATGAAAAGTATATCCAAGCTTCCATTCTCTTTTGACAAATTAAGTCAGAGCTTTCTTCCTTGCTTACTCTTGTGTTTTTCATGATAGCCCTAATCTACATATCAGCTGATCATTTTCTTTGCCATTTGGAAATCCCGTAGTTTGTATTGACTGATTCTCTACTGGCATAAAACCTATAGAATGGCTCTGGGGTAGACAGACCATTTAGAATGAAAAGAAATTCTATTTTTACCATTTTCAAGTTTGATCCTATTTTCTATCAGTGCATTTTCAGGCTCTGTGTCTGTCTGCCTGGGGGCATATAACAGTGTTATTTGGTTTTAAATACTCTTATTCACCAGGCTAATATAGATAATATTCTGTATATGAAACTTTGAAAAATTGTGGCAAACTTAAGATGAATCACATTTCCTCAAGACATGCAGTTTGCTTTTTCCTTGTTTTATTTTTTCATTATGAATACATAGAAACTTTTATGATATTTTCTGGGCATATGTCCAATGACCTTTTAATAACTGTTGTTATTTACATTGAGGCTGAAAAACAGGGAGATTAACTGATTTGCCAAAGATCAAGGCCAAGAAATAACTTGCCTCCTCTGTTGAACCATAGTTCTGAAAAATTACTTTCTTGAGTAGCTAATGAATTTATCTATGACAATTTCAGGTTGGTTTCTTTAAGATAAAAGTGTACATCAGTGAAGAATGAGAGAGCATGGATTACTCTATTTAAAGAGTAGAAAATTTTAACATGCAAATCACAAATCTCTCTCCTTCGAATAATTAAAAGACAGTCATCCATTCATTTGAACAAGTGGCTACGTTCTTGTCTGAGCCTCCTGTGGCAGCCTGTAGTGGTGGCATGTGAACGCTAGATGGCACAGGCTCAATGCCACAATTCAAAATGCCTTGGAGTCCTGCAGGGGCCAGGAGGTCCATGGGGACAAGCACCATGCTTCCTTCAGCATGGCCCAGGAAACTGGAGGAACAGAGCATATTGTTTGTTCTTTTTTTTTCTTTTTGCTAAGAAGGGCTTTGAAAAATGTTTCTCAAAGCTAGTCATGTCAAATGCAGTATGACTCGAAGAAATTCCCTGTAGAGCCTAATCCACTACCATTTGGATGCTGCTGTAAAATATGTTTTGGAACACAAGTGGGCATTTTCATCTGGCATCATCTCATGCTTTGAGCTCTGGCCAGAAAGATATGGAACCTGGGTCAGGCCCACTGAGTCCCCCCGCGCCAGGCCACAGAAGGCCAGTTTCTGCAGATTTAAATCATCAAAACCTCTTACAAAAGTATTCAAGGAACAAATTAAATACCTTTCATCATTCAAGATGATGGTATTTTTTTTCTTCATTAGCCCTCTTCTCATCCTAAATAACTTCAGCTGCTACATTTATAGTGTACTAAGATGCAAAGCCATTTAGTCCATGGTAGTGGTCACTGGTTTCCTCAACAGTAATCCTAAATTATTAAATGTGCTCATTACCTAATAAACAGGAATAGAAAGATAACAGGCACACATCTGACCTTGAGGCACTTCTAGCCATCTGAGGAGGTCAGACACAAGGCACATTTAAGTAAAACTAGCAACACAGGCAGGCTCTGTGTCTTCACTAGAGCATGCTGGTAGAAGGCAGTCTTAAATTTTCCCTGATACTTAATTGATTCTCTTTTATGGATCATATGGGCGTATTATAAAAAATGTGGGACATGCAGGAGTATAAAGAAGATATAAAGCTTGCTCATAATCCCCTGTCCAAAGAGAACCACTGTTTGTTTTGCATTTGTATGTGGGGCTTTTCAGTGCACCGGTGGTTCTTTTTTCTAACCCAAAGGAATATGCTCATTTTCTAGGCACCAGCAAATCTGGGCAACTCATTTGCCTGATAATATTTAATAGCAAGTTGTGATTGATGAAATACCTGTGAGATTTCACTTTCTCCTGGTCTTTTCCTTTTATAGCCTCAAGCAGCCTGTCACCCTGCTATATTTCGGATTGTTGATGAAATGTTCAGGTAAATGTTGTACTATTTCTGCTAGTGATCTAAAAATGCTCAATTTCCAAACATGAATAAAAAATTCTGTGGTAGTCTCTGGCTGTACCGTAGGGAAATTAGAATTTCTGATTCCTTATCCCTCTGAGCTTTTTGGTAATTAGAGGTAAAAACTCAAAAGTCAGTTTGTATTTAAAAACCAATGCCTAAGAATTAAGATAACTTTTTCTTTTAACCTTTTTAAATTCTAATAATAGTGAGGGAAAAGCAGAATTGAATTAGACATTAATATCATGAAATATTCATGTAGCATTTTTCTCAGCTCGGAATAAAAGGTAGCAATATACTCCCTTCACCACATGAGGGCTGACCAATCTTTTTAAAAGACTTTAAACCTAAGGAAAGCCAAGAAAACTAAATAAATAAATAAATAAAGCCATTCTTAGCAGAGTTCTTCTGAAAGGCAAAATACACCATGCATGCTATAACACATTAATTTGTATTTTGAAAATATGAATACTTCTGGGGATAGATGACAAGGGATGAGGAGCTCACTGGACAAGAAGCTGGGTTATGGCTGGCAGATAGTGGGGGTTTTAACCACAGCGTCTTGAGATTGGACCCCGCTGGGAGAACTTGTCACCCCAGCAGTGCTCCTGGCCTCTCTTATGGACGGTGGGCAGCTGGGGTAGCGAGTCTCTCTCAGGAGCAGAGGCTCCAGCGCAGACAGCAGACTTTGGGGAACGGAATTTTTTCAATAAAAAATAACTGACCACTTGGGTTGGTCCTGAACTATACCAACTTTAAGCTAAATGATCATAGAACTAAGAATTCAGACTACATACAGTTTTTAGTTTAAAGCTAGCAAAGTTTGAGTTGATTTTTTTTTCTTTTTGCTTAAACAAACATAAAAATTAATTGTATGAAAAGGTGTGGAAACCAGGCACACGTGGATTCTTCTGCCACTTTGCTGGGTGCATGTGACTGAGCCATTTTACCCCTTTGAGCAGCTCCGTCTCCACTTGCAAGAGCAAAATGTCGATGTCACGTGTCCAGGCGTACGATATGAAGGTATTTGTAAAGAACATGCAAACCTACATGGAAAGGATTTGCAGTGCTTCCTGATTGTAAGAACCGAGAAAGAGAGCTCTACACGTTGCGGTTTTAAAGAAAGTATTTAGGAGAGGGAGAGACAGATTTCTCCTGCTTTCACACAAGGACCGAAATCTGATGAGTTGAGGTACTGCTGAAGCTTATGGCACAGAAAGCATGTTTCTACTCTTCCCCCTTACCATTCAGGTTCCTGCGTGTGCCACATTAATCATTAAACATGCCATGATCTGACTTTGCATTGTTCAGGTACGCACTCCTGGAAACGGATGGAGCTCCGGAAGTACTAGCCACTGTTCAAGTGTTTACACAATGCTTTGTGGAAGCTCTGGAAAAAGAAAACAAGCAGGTTCGTTACATTGCATATATTACTCATTCACCCCAAAGAAAAAGAAGCTGTTAGGAGGATTTGGCTAATCACCAGAAAGTAGCACTTTATTTTCAGTAATTTTGATGGACTGTTTTTCTCACAAAAGAAGCTTCCAAATGAGTGGCCCCCGCAAAGGTACAACCATTTTAATTGAAAATAAATTGAGATGGTTTCTTTCTGTCTCATGCTCTGGTACCAAGAGCATCTGTCTACTGTTGTGTCTGAGAACTCTGTCATGCCAGCGTGTGTTGACCTAAAGGCTGAACTGCGCTGGCCCCGTGTTGTGTGCTGTCTGCAGAGTGGGATGCTGCAGCTGACCCTCCCAGGCCAGCAGTAGGCATCCTGGAGTTTATATGGCATGTACTGAATAGGAAATGCCATTTACTACAAAGCAATACTAGACATTCTTAATTCTTAGCATCTTCCTTCCTATCAGAGACCCAAAAATTCCAGGAGAGAAAGGAGGCGGTGAGAGTGCCCGGGAGCAGGGATGAGGAGTGGCAGCGACCGGCAGGCACGTGTCAGATGTGGTCAGGAAACCAGAGGCTGGGCCCGGGCCCCGTAGACTTGTACTCCAGGGCCCCAGCAGCAGAGGCCAGGCAACAGCTGCCAAGGACTGCTGACCAATTGGAGTGACCATGTGAAACAGGAACCTTTGCCTCCAGAGAGCTCTCACCTTTGGGCATTTTAATTGGCCTTTATTTCTAATGGCCACAGACTTAACATTTATGTGGCACTTTGCCTCTTCAGGGTGGCACTGGTCTGCTGCATCTTCCCGGTAATATATGTCATGCTCCCTTGTGATGCGCTCTGCAGTTTGACTGACTAGAGCACAACAGTGATGCTCAGCTCTACTAAAACCCCACACATCCCTGTGCCAAAGAAACCTCTCAGGTCTTAGCAGATGTTTCAACATTTTACGGCAACAATAAATATTTATGATTTATTTTTTCCCATCCTCATTTTCCCTGGGGAAGTTAACTAGACCATAGCAAACAGTGTTATCAATGGTACCCAGCCCGGAATTTGGGAGGAGAGCTCAGCTAAAAGGCATTGGCTGGCCCTTGCAAGTGTTTTGAGGCATAACTTTAAATATCTTTTATCCTCCCTTGTACATTCTTTGTATTCCCAGTTAGGACCTGACCTCTGGCGAGCCTCACCCTTAGACTCCTGGAACATGCCTAGGCTGCAGCAGAGGCCACTGGGGAAGTAGTTTTGCTTTTTGGTATTAGCTTGAGTCTGTTTTTCTTCTCAGCTTTGCCCTATGTCTCTGTGTTGGTCTCGGGCACCACGGATTTGGATTGGAGTTGCATTTGCTTTTAATTTAGACTAGTACCCTGATCGGGCAACATGTGACGAGAGATGTGGGGACCACAGACTGGGTCCTGGTGTGAGGCAGGGCAGGGATCCAAAAAGAAACAGGAATCCATCGCCCTCACCTTCAGCTCAGAATAGGAAAGCAATAACCTCTTAGCTTTGCAGACGCCTCCATACACCTATCAGTTCATTTCTCCTCCTAGAGCTATTCCCATGTGCCTGCCTTTTTAAGTATGGATGTTCTGCCTTCTTGAGTGCCCATTTTTAGTTAAGCATGATCCTTCATGCATGGCTCCTGTCATATTTGGTCCATGCATGACCCTCTTTTCTTTCTGTGTTCCATTCATTCATTCTTAATAAAATGAATATCTATGAACCAGCAAGACCTGGACCACAAGTGGTAAGAACTTCTGTCTGTCCATGTGTTCCTCCTTTGTCCTGTCTTCCTGCCTTTCACCCCCTGGATAACCACTGTCTGAATTTTATGTTTATTATTCCTTTGCTTTTTCTGAAAATAGTTTTATCACATATATATGACTGCCTAAACCATGTTTTGTTTCATTTTGGTTGGTTTTGCACTTTATAAAACAAACACACAAGAGTAGCATACTGTAGATATCTTTTGAGACTTACTTTTTCCACTCAGCATGTTACAAAGATGCCTTTATGTTGCTGTGTGTGGCTGTGGTGAAGTATCATTATATTGTAGTCCGCTGTGAAATGTACCACAGCGTATCCATTTTCCTGTTGTGGGTATTTGGGTTGTTCCCAGACTTTGTTTTCTATCACAGACATGTTGCCGTGGACGCTGTGGGATAGACACTTAGGAGTGGAAGTGTTTGGTTATCAGACGTGCAAAGGTTCAGCTTTAGTGGAGCCTGCCAAGTTGATTTCGAAAGTGGTAGTGCCCGCTCACCTCCCCTTAGCAGCTTAGGAGAGATTCCCTGTCAGAACTGCTCACCTTCAGTGCTTCTCGCTCTCCTTACCCTTTCCTCTCACCCCTGTTCTGTTCGGGGAGCACAGTGCAACTCCATCAGTGCACCCCGTCAGACAACAGGCAAAACCTTCAGGTCGCTGTGACAAGCTGCTTTTTCTAAGCCTGCACGGCGGCTCAGCACTAACAACCAGTCAGGCCAGGTTCTGGTTCCAGCAGTAGCAGAGTCTGATAATAGCCTAGACTAAATCTCTCACAGATAAAAATAATAAACCTCAGGCAAAACATTGTTAAAAATCTATTTGAAGACATTAGAGAGCACCTGAAAAAGAAGACAGAAAAGAGAGGGTCTTCAGCCCTTGAAAGGGAAACGGCACCTGGCAATCTTCTGCTGCCCGCCGACAGCTCTCCTTTGAGGGTGTCAGGGTCGGGAGTCAGGGGCCAGAACTTGGGGCAGGATCTGATTGACTTGAGGTGTGAGAAGAGAGCCGCCAGAGGAACATGAAAATAGAGGGGACAAAAGAAAACCAATGTCAAGAGATAGACATAAACCCAAACCTATCAACAGGTACATTAATTACAAAAATTAAATGCAGGTTAACTAAATATTCTAGTAAAAAGGCAGAGATGTCAGATTGAATAAAAAACCAAGACCCAACTATATGTTGTTCTCAAGAGACTCCTTCTAATGATAAAGACACAGATAGATGGCAAGTGAAAGGAAGGAAAGATGTGGTATGCCAATAGCAAACACAGGCAAGCTGGTGGTTCTGTGAGCTGCAGATGAAGTAGACTTCAAGGTGAGAAGTGCTACCAGAGGTAAAGAGGGACGTTTCATAATGACAGGACGGTCAGTTCGTTAGGAAGAGACTAGCTATAAATGGATATGTGCGTAATAACAGAGTTTCAAAATACATGAAGTAAAAGCTGACAGAAGTAAAGGAAAAAATAGATCCACTGTCATACATAAAATACTTAGTAATACATTTCACAATTATATATAAGACCTCTAACTGAAAACTACGAAATATTGCTAAGAGAAATTGAAGCAAACTTAAATATGAGAAGAGAGAAACCATATTCGTGAACTGTTAAGATGTCTGTTCTCCCCAGATTGATCTATTGCTTCAGTGCAATCCCAGTCAAAATCCCAGCTGACTTTAAAAATGGAGATTGACAAGCTGATCCTAAAACTTAAATGGAAATACAAAGGGCCTAAAATAGCCAGAACAATTTTGAAACACAAAACAAGATCAGAGGAGTCACCCTGCCTGGTTTCAAGACTAAAAGCTATAGTAATAAGACAGTGAGATATTGGCAAAAGGATAGACATAGATCAGAACTGAGTCTGGATGTAGACCCTACATACGTGGTCAAGTGATTTTTGACAGAGACACCAAGGCAATTCACGGGGCAAAGGAGGGTTTTCAACAAGTGGTGCTGGAATAACTGGATGTCCATCTGGGAAAAACAAACCTCAGCCTCTACTGCATGAAGCATACAACAGTTAATTAGACATGGATCGTAGGCTACAACAGAATGTTAGAGCTATAAACTCTTAGAAGAAAATGTAGGAGGATGTCTTTTTTGATGTTGGAGGATTTCTTAGGAGGAATGCAAAACAAGAAACACTAACGATATGAGAAAAAAATGGATAAATTAGACTTGATCGGAATTTAAAACTTCTATTTTTGATAGATATCATTAACAAAATGAAAAAGCCAGCCCCCAGCTGAGAGATACTTGCAATATATAGATATGACAGAGGATTTGTGTCCAGAATATATATGTCTATAAGAAACAAACCAATTTTTAAAAATGGACCAAAGAATACAGACTTCAAAAAAGATGTATAAATTGACAGTAAACACATGAAAACTGTTCAACATCGTTTGCCATCAGGGAAATGCATAATAAAGCAGGCATGAAAGCAAGCATGCATGAAGTAATGTTACATACCCACTACAATGGCTAAAATCAGTAAGATTGACAACACCAAATGTTGGCAAGTGTGTACAGCAACTAGAATTCATATAAATTACTGGTGGGTGCAAAATGGTATGACCACTGGAAAAGTATATGGCCTTGTAAGGTTAAATAAGCATCTACTCTATGACCCAGTAATTCCACTCCTGTGGTACTCACCCAGGAGACATGAAAGCATATGTCCACAAAAACACATAGATATAAATGTTAGTTGCAGCTTTATTCATAACAGTCCCAAACTAGAAACAACCCAAATGCCCATCAATAGGAAAATGAATAAACAGACCATGGTATATTCATACAGCGACAACTTCTGAGCAATAACTAAAGAATGATCTACTCATACACAATAATACAGATGACTCTCAAAACAAAGCAAAACAAAACACTGAGCCAAAGAAGCCAAACACAAAAGAATACATACTCTGATTCTATTTACATGAAATTCAAGGTTAAACAAAACTCTCCTGTCAAAATCAAAATATCGGTTGCCAGGGTGAGGTGGAGGGGTTGATTGTTAAGAGTCACAGGGGAACTTTTTGGGGTGATAGAAATGTTCTGTGTCTTGATTGGGATGGTGGTCACATGGATTTACACATTTACCAAAACTCATCAAATTGTATCCTTTAAGCCTTCATGCTTTAAGCCTTCATGCTTTCTAGATTTTACTTCAATTTTTTAAAAAAGCTTCTGTGCCTTTGGGGGCATGGACAGCTCATACCACTTGGCCTTCAAAGTATGTGAGCACCATTGTTGTTTTATGCTTTTGTTCTTAAAAAAACAATGCTGAAATACCTAACATCTCATAACGACTTTGGCAGCTCTTACCGAAATAGAAGATTTATGTGTATAATTGAGTTCATGTGAGGTAAAGAAGTCATACAAAGACATCAAGAGCATAACTTTATTTTTCTTAAGTCCCAGAAGGTGACTTTAAAAAGGTTCATTTTTCTGGAAAATATTTATAAGGTTATTGGAAGGATTTTAAAAAAATGTTGAAGAAAACATTCTGAACATGTTAATACTGGTGGGTCTTTTTTCAGCAGAAGGTGCAGGATTTTGTATTTTCCTAACACCCTTTTCAGTCCTAACGTTCATGGTTTTTGGAATTTTTTGTCTTATTGTAGCTGAAATTTTCACTCAAGACCTACTTTCCTTATGCTTCTCCATCTCTTGCCATGGTGCTGCTGCAATACCCTACAGGTAGGTTAAGGTCGATGTTGCCCATCTCAGAATGATTTCTGGGGAAGAACATTGACAAACTAGAACCCTTCACTCCCAGTCTCTCATCTGTAACATGAGGGAGATGGAATTAGTTATTTTTAAGATCCTTTAAGCTCTCAGTGTCCCACATTCTGTGGATTTTGATGTAAGACTCTGCTTGGCTTCCCAGTTATGACCACTTACCAAAAGAAGAAAAAGGAAAAGAAAGTGGCCTCTGGTTAGGTTTCGATAGTCTGCCTACAGATAGCACAGGCTCTGCCGATGCCAGCCAGACCCACCAGACGCCAGGAACAGGCCAAGACTTGGCTGCGTCAGTATAAAATGCTACATTCATTAGTTTTTCATTCTTTCTACTTCATGCAGCCTGTGGCAGAAGAAAAGATAAAATAATGGAGGAAGCCAAGGAAATTTAGGGGAAATTTCTCCCAACCAAGCCAACGGAGGGATTTTGAAAGAATTCAGTGAAACACTCAGACCACACCTCTCCTGATTTCACTTGCCAGCCTTCCATAGGCCACATCCGGTTGAGGAAGTGATGGTTCTGCCCCTCACTCGAGTGGTGTTGATCTGGGGGCTTCCTGTGAGCTCTTGCCTAGGCAACATTTCAGAAATAGACAGTGAAGGCGTCCTCTCCCTCTGAACCTGAAATCTGAAGGAAAGGCAACCCTGACACAAGCCCAAACTGTGCCACCCAGAAACGAGGGTGCAGAGGGAGGTAAAGAGCCAATAGCGTGTCCCTTTCACGCCATCACGCCATCTTTGGCCTGCATAACTTTGTTGGAAGAATGTAGATGATTCAGAGGTCTAGAGCACTTTGCAAAGTCTAAGTTCCTCTTCCTTTTTCTAGGAGATGTAGGTTCTTGCCCATTGTGGTCCACCTGACACTGCCCTCTCAGATGCCAGAGGTGGGGGTGGTGATGGCTTCGGTGGGATCTCTGGCTGATGGTTTCATGAAAACCTGTGGGAACACAATGAGAAAACTTTATTAACAAGACAGAAAATCAGGAATTCACCCTTCTGGGGTACACCTTACAACTTAGGTCAGATAAGCAAGGCCTAAGGTCAGCAGCGTGGGAAGCAGAATGAACTCCAAAAAATGTATTGGAGTTGTTTTTTTTTTTTTTTTTTTTTTTGAGATAGAGTCTCACTCTGTTGCCCCTGGCTAGAGTGAGTGCCGTGGCGTCAGCCTAGCTCACAGCAACCTCAAACTCCTGGGCTCAAGCGATCCTACTGCCTCAGCTTCCCGAGTCGCTGGGACTACAGGCATGCGCCACCATGCCCAGCTAATTTTTTCTGTATATTTTTAGTTATCCAGATCATTTCTTTCTATTTTTAGTAGAGATGGGGTCTCGCTCTTGCTCAGGCTGGTTTCAAACTCCTGAGCTCAAACAATCTGCCTGCCTCGGCCTCCCGGAGTGCTAGGATTACAGGCGTGAGCCACCGCGCCTGGCTCCTGGAGTTGTTATTTTTTAAGTTCAGAAACTTAAAAGATGAAGGTGGTACACGGCATGAACTCAGCCCTCTATCTTTTGGTTTGTGTGATTTTTCTAGATTTATGCCCTAAAATAAACAAGTGACTTCAAGCAGAAGTACAAGAACCTCGTGTGCTAGTTCCTAGAACAGCTGTCTCCATATTACTTTTGGAAAAAATGAATGTTATATTCACAAATTGAAGAAGTGTGTTTTAACAGTATAATCTTCTATTCATCAGAAATTTATTTTGTGGCCATTGTGAAATCTGGGAGGGGCATAAAATATGATCACATATGAGCCCCATCTAGGACCTACATGTAGAGGGGAAATAAAATAAGCGTCTAAACAACTAATAAAAAGGAAATGAATAATGCCTTCAAAAGGCTATGAATGAAGGGTTGTGGGAGTTGAGAGGAGGGAGAGGGCTGCCCCTGTGGAGTAGTGGTGGTACCTCCACTCGTGTTATCTTCCTCATGGATTCGATTGCAGAATCTGTCACTGCATGAAAACCTTTTTCAGATGTTGCTTAGAACTACAGATATATGCATGCTCGGATGTGTTTAAAACCACAGGTAATTGTGAAACCAGAGAAACTAACTCAAGAAAAGGCATTTGTTTGCATCATTCCCATGTATTTTTTTTTTCTGGCCTTTTTTTTTTTTTCTACTGTAAACCTGAAACCATATTCTGAATTCACTATAACTGTAGGAAAACGGCTGGGCAGACCATTGCTAATTCCTTGTTGGCTGCTTTATTATAGTTCCCATGTATTTTGAAATTACAAATTATTAGTGATGGAGGTGGGGGTGGGTAGGTAGAAAAGGAAAAGCCTGGGGCATCTGCAACGTGGCATTTCTCAGTCCCAGGGAGGGCTCCTGTGCAGTCTCCACCTACTGCCATGTACCTGAGAGTTAGAGAGTCCTTGAGGTTCAGCTCTGCATAACGCTGACAGATCTCACTTCTCCAGGCTTAGGAGATAGAGACTGTCTGCGAAAAGCATGAGAGCAGGGTGTGGGTTCTGTGGGCCAGACAAAAGAGGAAAGGGCATTTCCCTAAAATTCCAGGTCTTAGCTGGAAATGGTTCCAAACAGGTTTGACTTTTCTTCAGTTTCCCTCTGACTTCTCTCTCTCCACCCACAGATACCCCACAGGGACACTGGCACCAGCCACTGAAGCATATTTCTGAGCTGCTCAGAAAAATTGTTGAAGACCAGACTTGTGGGTAAGCAAACGCTGACCACTCCTAGGTCTGCTGCACGTGTGGTTTCCCTTGATCCTTACTTTCCCTTTGAGCAGGGCTGACAGACCAAACAGGTGAGCACCGTCACAGGTGAGAGGTGGAGGAAGCTCGTGGCTGCACGTGTCGCTTTGGACAGGTCAGAATAAATAGGCCTGCATGTGTAAATACCTGTGTAGAAACTCTTCTAAGTAATGTCTGCCCTTACACGTTTTGAAATACACAGGCGTAACAATAACAGAAGAGACACTAGAAAAAAGCAGTGCCCACATGCTGGGAAGCCTGGCCGTGCAGAAGGAAAAGGTTGCTTCTCTGGGTCCTTCCTTCTTCTCTCTAGATCTCTAGGGAAGGAAATTCTAAACTTCTCCTGCACAGGTGGGTGGAATGTTAAATGTTTGTTTTTCCTTCTCTTTAATAAATATTTCTCTAAATTAGAAAATCCATTCTAACATAAACTAATTTCTAACATTATGGTATTAGGTACCGTCTTTTTTTTTTTTGAGGCAGAATCTCACTCTGTTGCCCGGGCTAGAGTGCCGTAGCGTCAGCCTAGCTCACAGCAACATCAAACTACTGGGCTCAGGTGATCCTTCTGCCTCAGCCTCCCGAGTACCTGGCACTAGAGGCATGCGCCACAATGCCCGGCTAACTTTTTCCATATATATTTTTAGTTGTCTGGCTAATTTCTTTCTATTTTTAGTAGAGACAGAGTCTTGCTCTTGCTCAGACTGGTCTTGAACTCCTGAGCTCAAATGATCCACCTGCCTTGGCCTCCCAGAGTGCTAGGATTACAGGCGTGAGCCACCACGCCTGGCCTACGTACCTTCTTATATGTGTTATTTTCCTGAAAGCATTCACATTTAAGCTTTAAGTTCTTTCTAACATAATACTCTTTGGCTTCCTCTTAACTTCCTTGCTTTTAGAGTATGAATAATATTTCATTCATTGTCTATACTAGCCTACTGAGACTATCTTATTTGTTCCTTTTGTCACTTTTCCTTCTTGAAATTTTCTGTAATCTCATCACTGAGCCAACACAGATTATGGTTGATGCTGCTATGTCTGCGAGCACTGTCTAAAGGTTTGGGTGCCAGATACTCACTACCCCATTCCCCAAGATTCTTACCAATAGAGAATAGACAAAAAAGCACTGGCAACCATATGGGGACCAGAGTATCAGCTGTATTAATTGTCTGCAGCACCCTGTCGGCCCCACGTGTACCCTTTTTGGTTGTCTGTTGAAGAAAGAGCAGGACTTAGACCCAAAACCTCATGGGGCTCCTACCTTAACCTAGACCTTGGGGCCACCTTTGGAGGTAGGTATGCGAGCAGGTTAGGCCCTTTCTCAGTCGGCCATGTGGAACTGTCTTGCACACTCAGTTACTGGTGGAAAAGAGAGAAGGACCAGGCTGATCTCTGACCCCTGATCCAGGCATGCTGCAAGGGGTCTGCAGGGGAGGGCACTGGTAGAGCCCCTTCCTTGCTTTGAGGCATCCTAACCCAGCCCACCACCAACGTGGCCCCCAAAGTGTCAGCTCTGACCCTCTCCTGGGGACAAGGGAGTAAGATGAATATTCCCACCTTTCCTTCCTTTTCTGTCTGTTCTGCACGCTCGACTGCAGAACAGTTAATCACTTGTTCTCAGGGAGGATTTGGACAGGTGGAAGGCAGTGACCAGAGCGGCGAGCACAATGCTTAGAGCTTGGGAGTTCCATGGGCCAGGCAGAGGAACATGGAACCAGATCGAACAAAGACAGACCCTGCAGCAGGGTCTGGAATACTCCTGTTCCAGTCACTTCCCTCAGTCCAGAGGGGAAGTTCTGATCTAACCTGATCTCAGGCCAGTCCTGCTCCATTTATTACAACAGAGATGATAAACTGTTGAGACTGTCACGGCACGAAGGGCTCTACCCTTTAACCAAGCATTGCAACTCCCAGTTGCCAGTGCAGTGAGAGATAGCTTCATAAAAGTTTTAACTTTCCAGTGTTGCTGTATATATGGTGACAGGGAAGAATACATACAACTCATTAAAAATTAATAATCACTGAAACATCCACCAGATCCTTGTGTCTTATCAGAAAGGAAAGAGCACGTTTCTGCTTGCGTCCCACCCGCCACCCCTTCCTCACAAACGGTGGAGGCCAACAGCCTTCTCTGGTCTCCATCTGGACCTGAGGGAGCCGCCCTCATTTCTGGCTCTGGAGCCACCTGGGTGGCTGCCTTTGTGGCTGGGAGGCCCCATTCTCCACAGCAGCCCAGCTGTGCAGGCCCTGCAGAAGGCGGGGAGGCATGTTGCCGGGTTGTCCTGGGTTGTTCCTGTTGGTTACAGGCACAATCTTCCTTTCTCAGAGCCTGTGCTTACTCACGGTACCTGGCTGTAAAAACTTACATGTCCTCAGCCCTCATGGGGTTTCTGAGAGGCATCCTTTGAATGTCCTGAGACGGGTTCAGAGTGGCATTCAGAGAGACTTCCTGAGTCTAACTTGTGTTCCTTGCAGGTTGTACTTCAGTGGCTAAGTACAATATGAGCCAACAGTTCACAAACATTAAAGTGGCTTTAAGAACCAAAAGGAAAAAGAACTCAGGTTGCCCGGCTGCCATCTGTTTTGGCTCTGTTCCAGGTCCTGTGGAGGCCCCTTTGAGAGCTGGTTTTTGTTCGTTCACTTCGGAGGATGGGCCGATATGGCAGTCGAGCAGTTACTGATGTCAGAAGCCGAACCCCCTGCGGCCCTGCTGTGGCTCCTGGCATTCTACTACAGCCCATGTGACGGGAGTCAGCAGAGAGCACAGACCATGGTGGGTGGCAGGCCCCACAGCGTGTGCGTCCAAGGGCAGCTCTGGGGTCCCGAGAGGATCCTGCAGGGAGGGGCGCTGTAGTTGGTTTGGCTTCCGCTGACTCCCCCCGCACCTAAGCTCTGCAAACTCATGGCGTAAGTCGTGGTAATGTGTAGTTGTCCATCTCCACAGGTGGACTAGGGCTGGGCTTCTGGTCAAAGACATTGTCCTGCCTCCACAGAGTTCCTTGGAGGCAAGACACTGCCACCCTGTCCTGGGAAGCGCCGAGGGGGTGAGGCACAGCCCTTCTGTCCTTGAGGTCACTTGATGTGTCCTTGCTCGCCTGCCCTTGTTTACAGATGCTCCTGACCCTCGGGGGCCTGTCCTCCAGGGACGTCTGCTCTTCAGCCAGCTCCTCTCTCCTGCTCAGCAGCCTGGCCACGCCTTCTCCATCTTGACTTACTGCTTTCTTGGATCAGCCAACAGATTCTCACATTACCGGCTTTGTTTAGACCTCTTACTAAAGTAATCACATGATATTAACCACTTTGCTTCTGAAAAGGGACTGGGTCATTTCCTAAATAACAGAGCAGCTAAGTATAGGTAGGACGGGGTAACTGTCTGTGGCAAAGACAGTTGTTATTTCATGTGGAATATAATAATTACAGGAAGAAATGCTTTGATTAAAGGCTTTGGCACCTCCCTTGCAAACATTTATTTGCTGGTTTTTAAAACTTCAACTGCCAGTGCTTTTTGCTGATTTAATAATTAAAGAGAACAGGTTTCATTATGTATAGAGCAGTGTTCCTATTTGCTTTATATTTTCTGTTGTTGTTTGAAAAAAGCAGAGACTAGTACAGATGTTTGTATGTTTTATTTTTTTAAAGGCTTACACGATGGGAAAAGAAAAAATTTTGGATTTTAAAAAGTTGGAATTTGGTGATAATTTATTTTGGATCAAAAATAAAATATTTTTTAGAAATTATCATAATCCACATAGGTATGCGAGGATTGCTACCTGATTAAAAAGAAAGCCTTCTGTTTCTTCTTCCTTAAAATATCACATGAAACTAATTAAAGAAAATCCTAGTTTATGTTTTTGATCATCTTATTTTTAATAATAAGCTGTATGAAGCACTCGTAATTTCTATAGCCCTCTTGTATGCATTTTGTATTTGCTTCTGTATATGCTAAGTTGGTGGATATGTGTTTAAATTCCTATCGGTCACGGATACTGACAAAGATTCACTTTGGAAGTATAGAGAAATACATTGTCCTATAAGACTTGATTGCTAGAAAGTTCTGCATTGGCACATCTTTCTACTAGCTAACTTGGTCTTTCTGTTTGTTTAAATAAAACCTATACACAGTTCTTAGAGGATGCTTAGGCATCTTGGATGAAAATGGATTAACTCATTCAGAGTATAGTTTAGCGCCGTATGTCCATGTCCTTTGTAGCTGTCCTATTGTGATTGAACCCAGTGTTCCATATTAGAGATTCCAGAGCCCCTTCCTCCTTGGTGCCTGACCTGAGGCATGGGTGTAGGTGACATCCTGGGAAGGGGAGTTTTCTTGGTTTAAGTAATAATATGTACCTCTTGTTCCCCAGGCTTTTGTGAACTTTAATCACTGGATGGTATCTTGGGTGACTTGAGAAACAAACTGTGAGCTGTGTTAGAAAGCATTATTGTGAGATCTGATCACACTTGACAATAGCTGTGCCTTTGCCTTACTTAAAAGGTATAATTAAATCATGGTTAATTGCTTAGCCCTGGATCGTGTGCTAGGGCTGGAGTAGTTGCCTCTCCTGGCTGTCCTTGAGGTGCAAGAACACGGGTGCAAAGAGTGAGCCTGCCCCTGCCCAGGATGTGTCCTGCCTGTGCAAAGGCCTGTCCCGCTCACTGGCAAACCACATTCTCTGCCAGCCAATGTTCATCTCCTTTTTTTTTTTTTTTTTGAGACAGAGTCTGACTCTGTCACCTGGGCTAGAGTGCAGTGATATCATAGCTCACTGCAGCCTCAAGCTTCTGGGCTCAAGTGATCCTCCTGCCTCAGCCTTCTGAGTAGCCTGGGACTGTAGGTGTGTGCCACCACACTCAGCTAATTTTTCTAGTTTTTGTAGAGATGAGGTCTTGCTTTTGCTCAGGCAGGTCTCAAACTCCTGGCCTTAAGCAATCCTCCTGCCTTGGCCTCCCAAGGTGCTAGGATTATAGGCATAAGCTACCGTGCCCGACTGTTCATCTCCTTTTGCTCACTGAATTGGATCATGATTTAAAAAAAAAAAAAGTCTATATATTCTTAAGAATCAGGCAAGGGTTCATACCCTTTAACCCAGTCACTATACTATGGAATTATACCAAGGAAATAATTAGAGATCCATACAAAGATTTATGTACAAGAATTCATCACAGCATTGCTTATAATTGCAAAAATTGGAAACTTTCAATAGCAAAGCTATTGGCTAAATAAACAGTGAGTCTCTTTGGGTGATAGAGTTATATAGATCATTATAATTTTTTTTCTTTTTCTCTTTTCAAATTTTCCATAGTGAACAAATACAGATTTTTATAATGTAAGATTTAAAAAACAATACTTTGAAAAGAAAAGAAAGCTTTTTTCTTTCCCCTGAAAAACTTAGAAAGCATTTAAAGTTATTGGCATTCAAGTAGAAGCTTATGGACATGGGAAGTGTTTGAAAGGAAACACAGTCAGGGACAAAATAGAGAGGAAGACCACATCTTAGGGAATATTGGATAAGGGGAAAAATCAAACGCCGGTCAAGAAGAAAATGAATATAAAGGCATCGCCTCCTAAGCACTGACATTTTTGCAGACCCACTGAGATGACAAAATGCTCCTGGGCTCCTGTAGATACCATCAGACCAGGATAGGCTGGGCCCAGCTGAGAGGGGCGAGGTGGCAAGAGCGTGGCCTGTCCTGTTGGACCCCTGCCATTCTCCATGGAAGAGCCCCATGGTGCAGTTTCTCACGGTCTCGTATTATGGTCAGAATTGCTCACACAACACGCCTAGTGTACTGGAGTTTATGACAGACTTCATTGAATGAGGCCTTAACTTCCAGGAAAAAAACCGTTTCACACAAAATCCATAAAATCGGTCATGGGAATTCTCAGAATAGGCCTAAGTATTCTTTCAAAACTGATGGAACATAGCTGTTCATGAGTTCCATGTGGCATTTTGGATCAGTTGCTTTGTTTTCCAAGTCACAACTTGATGTACTATTCTTGTAGCAAGCAGAAAAGTCTCAGCATGAAATAAACATTTTTTATGCAATAACAACCCACAGACTTATAACAATTACCATTATTATGTGGATTCCACAGACTTGTGACCTCAGCTTGAGCTTTAAACATGTATGAACAGCCTGTTCCAGTATCTAAAACAAAACGAGTATATGTGTGTGTGTGTGTGTTCCCCCCACCCCCAAAGATAGCAAAAGGCAAACCTGCATTCTTATCCGAGCACTGGCTCGGCGGAGGCCCCATTGCATGGGGCTTTAATTGATTTGTGGCTGTGATAGTCTTCAAGGAGCCTTTTGTTCTTTTTCCCACAATATAAAAATCTGACTACATTCTGTTGAGGACTTTTCTTCATTTCCTTTCATACAAAAAAAGGTCAATTCCTGGCATGGTGCCCTGGCTGCTTGGTGAGCAAGACGAAAGAAAGTCAAGAAATTTCCATTCCGCCCATTTGGGTTTGTGTGGAACAGTGTGTAAACTCGGCCGCACCGCCTCTTTCTCCCTCTCTCACGGGCCAGTTCTCACCTCTTTCTGAGGGTTGCTTCAAAGCAAATAAATCCTAGAAGAAACGTGTGTCCTGACTGTTCCCTAATCCATCACTCTTTGAAACTGTATTGTCCAGGTGGAGGTGAGCGCAGTGCTCGGCTGCCTGCTGAGGCTGTCCAGAAGGGCCACCCTCTCAGCCGGGGACCTGCTGGCGGCAGCGGGCGAGGGCAGAGACGCAGACCCCGGGCCACCCGTACCGCAGCTCCTCAGGCGCCTCCTCCTCACCTTCCTGCTCCGGGTTCCTGGAGGCCACGCGATTGCCCGGGACACCATCGCCCTGGTAAGCCCCGCGTTTCCAGCATCCTACTTCTCGTTTACACTTCAGGTGAAAGGTGAGTTGTCCTGGCCTTTGAGGGGGGTGTGTCCTGGACGCTGCCCAACATGGAGGAACGGTCAGGCGGGTTGACAGCTGGGATGGACCCCAGAACCTGCTCCCTGCAGCACCTTCATGCCACAGAAGAGAAGATGGAGGCTCAGAGAAAGGAGGTGCTTCTCCCAGGTCACACGGCAATTGCTGGGGCTCATAGGAAAAGCGAGGTCTCCTCTGCCCCCCGTCTGATGCTTTCAGGCACAGTGCACCACTCTCCTCCCTCATGGCGGCAGTAAGGCTTCAGTGAGAACGTGCTCCGAAAGCAACCACAGTGCTGCTCGCTGCAGCAGTGCAAAGAATTGTGTTTGTTAAATTTTTACAGACTGGTTAATTACAAAGAAATTCTTCCTGAAGCCCAGCTGACATGAGGGCTAAAGAATGGTCCACGTCAAAAATGAGCACTACTCATGACATTAGATTTGGCAATGATTTCCTGGGTATGATACTAAAGACACAGGCAATGAAAGAATAAATAGATAAATTGGACTTTATGAAAATTAAAAATTTCTGTTCCTCAAAGGACACTATCAAGAAAGTAAAAAGACAGTTCACAGAATGGGAGGAAATATTTGGAAATAATGTATCTGGTAAGGGTTTAATACCCAGAATATATAAAGAATTCTTATAACTCAACAACAAAAAGATAACCCAATTCAAAAATGGGCAAAGGCCTCGAATAGACATTTCTCCAAAGAAGATGTACAAATGGTCAATACTCAGTAACATGAGCCATTAGGGAAATACAAACCAAAACTACAATGAGATTTGCTTCACACCCATTGGGATGGCTATCGGAAAAAAAAAAAAATAAGGAAAAAATATATTGTAAAGATGTAGAGAAATTGGAGCACTCACACATTTACATGGAATGTAAAATCATGCAGCCACTGTGGAAAAGAGTTTGGTGGTTCCTCAAAATTTAAACATAGAATTACCATATGACACAAATTCTGCTAGGTATATGCCCCCAAGAGAACTGATAGCAGGGATTTGGACAGGTATTTGTTCACCAGTGTTCATAACAGCACTGTTCACAATAGCTAAAAGGTGGAAACAACCCAAGTATGTCCATCAACAGATGAATGGATAAACAAGACGAAGTGGTATATACATCTACAGAATATTATTCAGACTTTAAAAGGAATTTTTGGCACATGTTATAACGTGGGTGAACCTTGAAGACATTATGCTAAGTGAAATAAGCCAGACAGAAGAACAAATGTTATGACTCCACTTTTATGAGGTACCTAGAATAGTCAAATTCATAGAGAACGTATTATAGAATAGAGTTTACGGGGGGCTGGGGGAGGGAGGATGGGGAGTTAGTGTTTACTAGGTGCAGAGTTTCTGTTTAAGATGAAGAAAAAGTTCGGGAGATAGGTATGTGGTGGTGATGGTTGCACAACTTTGAATTGCAAAAATGGCTAAAATAGCAAACTTTTTTTTTTTTTTTGAGACAAAGAGTCTTGCCCTGTTGCCTGGGCTAGAGTGCCATGGTGTCAGCCTAGCTCACGGCAACCTCAAACTCCTGGGCTCAAGCGATCCTCCCACCTCAGCCTCCTGAGTATCTGGTACTACAGATGCACGCCACCAGGCCTGGCTAATTTTTTCTGTTTTTAGTCACCTGGCTAATTTTTTTCTATTTTTAGTAGAGATGGGGTCTCATTTTTGCTCAGGCTGGTCTCGAACTCCTAACCTCGAGCGATCCTCCCACCTCAGCCTCCCAGAGTGCTAGGATTGTAGGTGAGCCACCATGCCTGGCCTAGCAAATTTTATGTTATGTATATTTTACCGTAATTTAAAACAATGTCCATCTCAAAAAAAAGTGAGTACCAACATGGTGGCTCTGGGAGTTTTGTTTTATTTTTGCTTTTTATTGACATATACACACAGAAAATATACAATTTGATGAATCTTCACAAACCAAAAACACCCATGCAACCAGCAACCGAATCAAGAAAGGACATTCCCAGCACCCAGAAGCCCTTCCTGCTCCCTTCTAGGGTGGGTTCTGTTTGAATGTGAATATTAATATGTGGAAAGTCCCAGTGACGAATGACCCAATGTGCCAGGAACCTCAGAAGACCAGGAGCTTGTCTCAGTCCTGGTTGGCCAGTTAGTGTGCAGCAGACCTCGGCTGGGACGAAGACAGCCCGAGAGCCTGAGGGGGGGTCAGAAGCAGAAGAGGCTAGTGCCGTCTCCTCAGGGTGCAGCCCCAGCACAGTGGCAGGACTTCCAAGAATCCACTGTGTACTTTTATAAATGCACACCTGCAACAGCACAGATGACCTAGAGGACATTATACTAAGTGAAATCAGCCAGACACTAAAGCCATTGTGCACGACCTCCCTCGTATGTGGAATCTAAAACAGCTGAACTCATAGAAACAGAGAGTAGAGGGTGGTTACCAGGGCTGGAGGTGGGGGAATGGGGAAATGTCACAGGGTACAGTCTTGCAGTTACAAGATGAATGAGTTCTGGAGACCTAATGTACAGCATGCTGACTGTTGTTAATAATAATGTACACTTGAAATTTGCTAAGAGTAGATCTCAAGTGTTCTCACCACTAAAAAAGTAACTAGGTGAGAGTGATGGATGTGTTAATTAGCTTGACTGTGGTAATCGGTTCACAGCGTATATTAAAACATCATGTTGTACACTTTGGGGAGAGAGAAAACAAATTGCAGCATATGACAATAAACACCTGTAAATAAGGGGAAACATGCACACCTCACTTACTTCCCAGGCCACTGGGGTGGGAGAACACCGTAGATGGGAGCTAAAATACATCCGTAAAACTTGGTGTCAGCCGGCTTTCCCTCTGGCCAAGTATAAGGTACAGTAGCTGCTTTTCAGCTTCTGCCTCAGCAATGACCAGAGTTGGCATCGGAAGGGACAAGTCACGCTGACAGTGTGCACCCCTGACATAATGTGAAGAAAATGGCACTTTATCTTGGTGGTCTTCCTCCCCAAAACCTGTAGCCCAGGTCTAATCATGAGAAAAACATAAGAAGGACATTCAACAACATAACCAGTAGCCCCCAAAACTATCAAGGTCATTATTTGTAGAAAACACTCAGACCGTGCTTTTCCGGTGCTCTCACACAATTATAAGACAGAACACGACTTCTATGACCAGATGGGGGTGTTTCTGCCCTCCACCAAACAAGCAATCAGTTCTGCAGCAGACACCTGCTGGGTGTCCTCCAGTTCAATTCCAACACTGTCTACCTGGAGACAGCCTCACGTCCCACGGGGTGAGGCCTCAGTCCCCAAGACTGCCCCCCACCCCACACACCCGTTGCAAGTCCAGGCCCACTGGCTTCAAGTTGGAGTTCCCATGGCCTGCTGCCCCCTCAGCCCCACTTTGTGTTCAGTTAGTTTGCTGGGGCAGCTCACAGAACTCAGGAAAACACATTTACCAGTTTATTATAAAGGATATTACAAAGGATACAGATGAAGAGATGCATAAGGCGAGGTATGGGGGAAGGGTAGGGGAGTTTCATCGCCCTCCTGAGGCGCCACCTCCAGGAACCTCCATGCATTAGGCTGTCTGGAAGCTCTCCCAACCCAGTCCTTTTGGGTTTTTGTGGAGGCTTCATTAGTAGGCATAATTGATTAAACCATTGGCCATTCATTGGTGATCAACTTGACCTTTAGCCCCTCTCCCCTTTGGGGGTGGGGGGCAGAAAGTCCCAACCCTCTAATTATGCGTGGCCAGCCCCACCCTTGCTAACAGCCAACATTAGCATACAAAAACTTTGGGGATTCCAAGAATTTGAGGAGTTGTAAGCCAGGGAAGGGGACAAAGACCAAATATATATTTCACATATCACAGTCATCAAAACAAGAAAAGTCTGAGGAACTGTCAGATCCAAGAGGAAGCTAAGGAGACATGATGACCAAGTGTACTGTGTCCTGGGGGGGATCCTGGAACAGAAAAAGGACAAAAGGGAACAACTGAGGCAATCAGAATAAAGTCTGGACTTCAGTTAATTAGAACGTATTGATCTTGGTTCATTAATTGTGACAAACCTACCATTCTTTTTTCCCCATTTATTTTTTATTTGTATCTATTCATGGGTACAAGTGCAAGTTTGCTACGTTGATTTATTGCCTTGTAGTGAAGTCAGGGTCTTCAGCGTGTCCATTACCAGAGCAACACTGTACCTGCAAGCGACCTCCCCTCCCCTCCGAGTCTGCATGGTCCATTGTTCCACACTAGCGTCCACGTGTACACGTTACTTAGCTCCCACTTACAAGTGTGCCATCCTAATGTGAGATGTTGATAATGGGGGACACTGGGTGTGGTGTATGTGGGAACCCTCTGTATTGCTATCTCTGTAGTGACACTAAATCTAAAACTGTTCTAAAATGAAAAGTTATTTTAAAGCGTCAATAGCAGCTACTTTCGAATCATGAAGGTGTTGGCACCATTTTTGTCGCCTGACCTCCAACCTCCTGCCCATGCCCAGGGCATCTGTGGGTGGAGCCTCAGCCCTGCCACTGGGTCAAGCACAATTCCCACTCTGGCACTTCTCCCCTCCCCCCTGCCCACAGGGTATGAGGGAAAGGAACCCAGAGAAAGCACCTCCGAGACACCAGGCCTCTGCTTTAGGTACTCCAACCACATTCCCATCTACTCAGGGGAAACAGTCCACGTTCAAAATTGACCACCCTCCAGACTTGCCCACGCAGGAGCCACTGAAAAGGAGCTGGATCACACTGCCAAGTTCAAGTGGCTTCCTGTGCCGGGCAGCCCATTCGAGGACAGTTCAGTTCCCGCCGCGCATTAACGCCGCTGATCTCAACCTGAGATTGCAGGAGTGTGGAAGCCCCCAGTGCTTCATCTTAAATTTCATAAGTCAGTTCGGCTGCAAAGAACACACAACGGAAACGCATTAAAGGAGAAAATGCCAATGTTTCTCTTCCTGCACCGGCTCTCCGTGGCTGGGTGCTAGCCATCTGGGCACCCGGGCCCACCGCGCGAAAGCGCCTTCTGGACGCTGTCTTTTCAGACATTTTGAAACTGTATTTATTAACACATCAACTTTCCTAACCGGGAGGCTTCGCTGTGGTGGCCACAGTGGCAGGTCGAAGGCCAGGCTGAGGCAGCTCGCAACAAGACAGGTGGAAGGATCCTCTGTGCACAGGCTGGCAACTCCTGCCTTCTCCTGGAGCACCTGGAAACAGCCCTGGGCAGGGTCTGCCTGGTCTGGGAGCAGATGGTGGGTGGCCAGAGGGTGGCTTTGGTCGGACACTTTCCCTCAAGCTAGAGCTTGGGCTTCACTACCCTCAGGCCCCAGCCCTGGCGCAGCCAGAGTGTGAACTCAGAGGGCTTGTGCAGAGCCGCGCCCGGCCGGTCCCAGTGCCTGCGCTGCGTCCCGGAGCCCAGCTTTGGAGAGCAGTGCCCGCTCAAAGCAGGACGACGGTGCCCCAGAGAGGGCAAGGCCGCAATCCCTACAGAGCCCTTGTTGCCTTTCGGAACTGACCCCTTTCAGCGTCCGCCCCGCCTCGGTGAGTGGCACCATCCCTGAAAGGATGGGCGAGTGCTCCAGCGTCACCACCCTGCCCTCGCGCGCGCCAGCCCTGAGCTGGGCCATCAGCCCCCTTGTCTGGGAACCGGCGATCCGCGCCCTCGGGCTGTTCCAGGAGTCGTGTCTGCTGGCCTTGAATCTCTGAGTCCTCACAGGCTTTGCCTGTGGCCCTGAGGGTCTCCTGCCTCTCTGGCGCCCAGCTGCTCGCCTGCCATGGCCACTGGCTGGCTTCTCCCTGGCCTCCTTCCTGCCCTGGATTCATGTTTCTCTTCCTTTCCTTCCGACTTCTGCTGCCCCACCACTGCTACAATAGCAAAACGCTAGTAAGACTCTGAATCGAGTTCATTCAGTTCTATAGTCTTTGAACTCAAAATAAATTTAACCCACTCTACAGACACGCATCAGCTGAGGCCAGCAAGGATGCGGATCTTTAGACCTTGGCTGCAGTGAAGAGGGGTTTGTATGTGAGTAGAAACCTTTGAATGGAACCACCTGGGAGTTGAGTTGGCTTATAAGAAAGATAAGAGGTTAGATCTGCAGTGAAGACTGGTCCTGCTTCAGGTCGGGCCTGTCATCAGGGGGCACTGCCCGACCCCTGAGCAGGAGGCGGCCTTTCCCACTTGAATCCCAGGCAGTACATTAACTCTTCTAAGGTGTCCCAGGAAGGTCACACTGTTTCCTCCATGAAGGACAGAGACTGCATCTGACGAAGGTCATCTACAGCCTCACATGCCTGTAATCTCTGATATCAAGTGATAACGGTAGACACCGAAGGCTATCCCGAACCCTGCTGGGGCTGGCAGCCTGTGCTCCCCACCGCCAGCCACTCGCCCCGACCAGGCTCCCTCTAAGCCCCACTCACTGCCAATAGATGGCTGAGAAGAGCGAAAGTCACAGTCGCCCCAGCTCATTTCTACACAACTCCACATCCCATGCTGCCACGCACATGGTATACGGACAATGAGAGGTTCCTTTTACTGCTGGTCAGAAGATGGGGGGCCCAGGACTGAAGGGTTTCCTGGGCTATGGGACTTTAAGTGCTAAAACCGTGATTGTGCCAGCAAAACCAGGGCAGTTGGTCACCATTCTGGAAGGGCCCAATGCAGAGATCAAGAGGAAGCTGACCTTGGGCTGCTCTGGCTAATAAACATTCGTGGGTTCCATATAAACTTAAACTCATTAAATCAATGTGTACATGTAGGTTATTCTTTCAGAAACTTAGGGCATCTTAATTCTTCTTGTGCCTAAAAAACCACAATAAATTCCTTGCACAGCTAACTTTTGAGATTCTCACCCCTCCATTTTTTTCTCAGCTGAAGTTCTTAGGAAAATACGGGTCCCAACAAGTCTGAGTGCCTTGAGGCTATATTTAGCAGAACTAACAGTGCCTGTTTCCTGCTTCCCTGCAAGAATCAGGTGTTAAGACCTTAGATGCCTATTAAAAAGCAAGTGGGCCTGGTTGCTAGCCCAGGAATGCAATATATAAGGCTGTTTGTGTGAAAACAGGTGGCATTTTCCAATTCTCATATTAGTGCGAGCCTTTTGCAGAAAGTCAAGCCACAGCATGCTCGTTTACCTTTCTCCCCACGGCAAATAATCCCAAGGCTTGTGACTGGCATTCCTGGAAAGTCCCGGTTTCCGAGCAATGCTTGTCTGTAACCTTTGTGAGCGCGGGCAGCCGAGCCTTGATGCGGGAGGGTGGTCATTAGGAAAGGGCTCTGCTCATGGAGTGGCCAGCCTCTGAGAACACACTTGCTTTGCTAATCACCTTGAAAACAAATGAAGAACCTTGGGGCTTACCTGGGAGCTGACAGGCATGCTAGACAGGCTGCCTCTCGGGGCTCAGTCCCCTGGGTGTCTGCAAAGTGTTTGATTTGCCTTCTCTTCTGTCCTCATTGCAGATGGCACACACTGATGAGATAACCCACGAGATTATTGGTTTTCTTGACCAGACCTTGTACAGATGGGATCGTCTTGGCATCGAAGCCCCTGGGGCAGGAGAACTGGCCAAAGAGCTCCTTAAAGAGCTGCACGCTCAAGTCCAGCAAAGAATGTAGACCATGTGGGTGCCACGTGTGGGATCGGCCTCACCAAGGCCATGGGACAATTGATGAGACCCCTTTTCGTGGCCACCAGTGTGTGGAGTAAGTGCCCTCTTTGCGCTGTGAGAGTGAGCCGTGCACAGCGTAGAAGGGCTGGGAGTACACATTTTACAGAATCCGAAGGCAGGTGCTTCATCCCAAACTTAGTCACATTTATTCCTTAATGACTGGAGAATGCCTTCCCCGCCCGGACAAGGAGTCAACTAGAGAATTACTAAAGGAAAGGGAGAACAGATTTTTATTTTCTTTTTTAGCCACATCAAGCCAAAATGCACTATTAGTGATTCAAAGTCTTTGGACCACGAAATTGGTCATGAACCACTGAATGATTTAGAGAGGAACTTAGCCCTTTTCCACAAATCTATTTTTTTTTAGGAGTTAGGAGATCATTATTGGTATTTCTTTTAGTCAACAGGGATCCGAGATAAAACCACACGGTTTTGCTTCCCTAAGAAATTCCTCATCCAGGAGAGTCAGATCCCTCAGTTTCCCCCGGCCACTCCCAACCTGCCCTTCAGGCTGAGGGAAAGCAGAGCACAGCCTGGCCCAGCGGCAAGTGGTGGTGGTGGGGCCGCGGGGGCCTGGCTGCACTGCGGAGCGACAGAAAGCCAGCGCTCATGCTCGCTCCTTGCTATGTGCTTGCTGGGCACTGCCTGCTCCCAGAGAGCTCATGCTCCTGCATGTCAAAGGTCACCGAAGGTGAGGCTGTGGGATGTGTCTAGAAACATTAGAAGATTTTGTTACACCAGTGGTCCTATTACACCAGAGTGAGAACTGGAAATTCCTGACAAAGAATTGGTAACCCCAAGGCTAATATTTATTTTATGTCAGTTGAAGACACTCTTGTTTCCTTTCAGATTTACTCTGAACTTGTACTGACTGTATATTCTTTTGTGTGTATTCTGTTTGTCGAGTGAGTCAAGACTTTCTTTTATGTCCATTTTGATTTGTATGCTAGTGGTCTGAATCTCGGCTCCTGTTGAGGTATGAATAAAGCTTTGTGGGATGAGAGGTTAACCTTAGGGGAATTAATTGCTTTGATGTAGAGCAATGCTAATGGATCCATCTGAAGATCTGGAAAATTCTAAGAACTTTTGACCTGAGCCTGCCTTTTGAGAAATACAGTGTGAAAGGTGTACTGTTAAAATATTTTCGTCACAACTACCACAATTACCATTACTTTCACGTGAAAATGCTTCATCAGAATGTGTAGGAGTTGGCGTAGGAGACAACTTCACTTGGAGTTGAGGACATCTCTCCTCTCCTATTTTGACTCTGAACCAGAGCTGTTGTTCTGCCATGGAAACTGATCAACCTCTGTGGGTATGAAAAAAGGGGCTCAATTCGGTGGCAGCGGGCAACCCCTAAAGAGGGGCCACCAGGACAGACCCCCTGTGGTGGGAGGGATCCCTCACACAGTCTGGCCTTGTGACCGGAGTTCTCCGACTTCACCCCTCCACCCCTTCTCACTGTCTCACAGCAAACGGAAAACAAGACACACAGGGCTCCCAACCCAGACTGTTCAAGCTACACTTCTGGAAGACGTCTTCCTGTTCTGACCTTCCCTCGTCCTGTCTGCGGTATCTCGCAACCCTTACAAAGCTTCTGAGTCCTCTGTGCATTGCACATTCGGGTTCTGGCCAGAACACCCTGAGTGGCAGGAGTTCGTCTCCATCCTACTGGATTCCCAGACGGCCCAGTAGGTTCCTGGGTCTTGAGGGAACCCTGGAAAGCAGGCACTGACTTGTTTACGGGTTTCCTTTTTTCCTTTTCCTTTCCCACCCTGCTGACGGTGCTAGCAAGGGGAGAACTGCTCAAGGGTGGGAACACCAGAGAGTGCGTGGGGGTAAGGGCTGCCCCACAGAGGAGATGAGCTGCGGAGACCCCCAGGGAGCCCCCTCTGTCACTCCACCCACCTAGTGAGAGGTCACAGTGTAGAGGGGAGCGGTGCTCTCCTCTTGAAAACAAAAGACGGCAGATACTCACTTCCTGGGCAAGCCCACGCCCAGCGAGGACAGAGAATTTGGGGTTGGGCTGAAAATGGTTCAATAAATTCTACATCCTCTTTTGGTTGCCTTAGACTTTCTGGAAAGTCTGGACATGTGGGTTCTTTTAGTTTTTTGAAAGAAGTTCAAAGAAGTAGGTGTCCGGCTGAAAGCTGGCTCTGGTGAAGCACACCAAGGCCTGGAGCGTGAGGGCAGTGCAGGCCCCGAGCCCCACGCACCCTGCAGGACACAAGCGCTGAGCCCCCAAGGTGCGCGGCAGGTGGCAGGGCCGGGACTAGAGGTGCGACCGGGGTTTACTCTAGTGAGGTTCCTCCCGCACACAGGGTGGATGTCAGGCGGGATGTCTTGAGAACATCCACTAAGAGTGGCTTAAACGAGGAAGACAGTGGATGGTCTCAGACACAGAAAACTCAGAAAGCTGGTTAATTCAGCCACTCAGCAATGTCGTGGCTTGGGGTGGCCTCACTGAAGTTCTCTGGATTTTCCCTCAGGGTTGCAGAGGGCTGGTGTGCCCATGCCTTCCAACCGCATCCAAGGAAAGGACAGGATTCCCTGATGCCCCACCCCACCTGCCCTGGCGGGCTCGGACCCAGCGCAGGTTGGTCAGGACGCTGATGAGGCCTGAGCTTCAGGGCCCCTCACTGCCCGGCCCCTTCCGAGGCCTGGGAGAGGCCCCCGCGCTGCGCTTGCATGGTCGCGTCTCTCAGATCTGCGAGCTACTGTGACTGCGGCTGTCGCAGGTAACTAGCCTCACGCACTGCTGCGTGCCCTCCCTTCATGCTGGGCGACCTGGCGGTGGCCCTGGGCACTTCTGGGATGCAGCTGAAGGGTTCCGTGAGGTGTCGTATGTGGCTCACCGTCACTTTTGAGCTAGTCTAAGTTATTGTCACCATCCCGTCAAGGAATAGCTTCCAAGAGCTCCAGCTCAGCTGACCCTGGACACGGGTGCAGGCCGAGCAGCTGGGTTGTGACAGAAGCACAGCAGGGTCACTGAGCACCCAAGGCACGTGGGGAGCAGGAGGAGCAGGGAGGGAGTGGGGGCTCCAAGGCCCAGAGCTTGTGCCTGGAATGAATGCACCAGAGGTTTTCAGAGATTCGACAGCAGCTCTACAACTTTGCGTCACTTATGGGAAGCTGTGAAGCCAAGAGAAATTTTTCTACACTCTCCATAATTTTTTGATAAAGCATGCTGGAGAAAAGATGGAATTATTTTTCCCTTCTCTGTATGGAAAATGTGTAAAAATCACCCACCACCAGCGGTTCTGGTAATAGACCTCTTTTCTCTGCCGGACACTGGGTTTAACATGGAGTCATCGATTTTGTTCAAAACTTCTACGTTATTAATCATCATTAAGCCTTTTTACAACCAAAGACCCCAAAATTAAGGCAAAATAAGTATGTGTGTGTGTCTTGAAGCCTCCTCCTAAAATCCAGTCCCACAATTAGTTTGGCCCATGGGTCCCAATCACCTCCTTCACGTACAGACCTGTAACAAAGACAGCTAACGCCGCAGCCTTCCCTTCCCCTGTCCTGGCAGGGTATCGTGCTGTACTTGGTGTTTGATGTAGGAAATTTGTATACCCGGGACTCTTGGTTGCAAGCAATAGAAATGGACGCTGAATGTTGAAAGTAAAAGGGAATTGATGACAAGGGTATCTAAAACTCGACTGTTAGCCAGATGAGGCTTAGTGTGCGCTGGCCAGCAACAATGCCCCAACTCTCACTTCAGACGGTCTGCTGAGGAAACTGCTGCCATTGGAGTCCCACAGCTCAGACCCCTTGGAACTCACTCCCGCAGGGAAAAGGGCCCCCACCCTGCGCTGGCTCCTTTCAGAATGCGTCGCCTGTGTGCATCTGACAGAGGTCACAGGCCCGCACCTGGGCTGTACAGGAAGCCGGGAAAGCAAGTGTCGAGCTTGCTTCGCTTCGGTAACATTGCGGATACCGTGCACACCACCAAAGGTATCGCCCAAACACAGGAAGGGCTCAGATACTGGGAAGATAAAGAAAATAAAAACGTCCACAATACTATATATCATCTATGCTTCAAGACTAGAGCATTTTAGCAGGTTGAGTCCCATGAAACAGCCCAACACTCAGCAACAGAACAGGGAGAGCAGGGCCTCGGCAGAAAGCCATTTTGCAGGCATCTGAAGCTGGGCTTCTCCGGTGTGGCACCATTAATACTGTGGACCAGGTAATTCTGTTGCGGGGCTGTCCTGTGCATTGTAAGGTGGTTAGCAGCATTCCTGACCTCCACCACTAAGTGCCAGAAGCACCTCTCCCGCCAGTGGTGACAATCGAAACCTCTGGACATTGTGAAATCCCCCGTTCCAACCGAAGAGAAATCGGTGGGTCTTTCCTTCTGGAAAGGTATCCTAGATGAACACTAATGGCTATAGAGATAGAAATCAGATTTAGTAGGATCTTTTTTTTTAAGAGACAGGGTCTCGCTCTGTCACACAGGCTGGAATGCAGTGGCATGACCACGGCTCACTGTAACCTCGAATTCCTGGGCTCAAGCGATCCTCCCGCCTCAGCTTCCCAAAGCGGTGGGACTACAGGTGCACGCTACCACGCCCCAAGGAGGAACATAATACGTGAACCAGACAATCTAAGTCCAAAATTCATATGGAAAAACAAACATTCAAGAACAGCCAAGAAAGCTCTGAAAGTGAAGTGCAATGAAGGCTACCACGTATTGACACACATTCTAACGCTGGAGTCATCACGACAGCGTGGTACGTGCCATGACAGACAGATGGGTGGGACCAAAGAGGGACTACAAGGATACTGCACCCTCCAAGGTCACCAGGGCCCTCTGCCAACAGCAGTTTTCAGGCCTCGGCTCCAACTGCAGGTTGGCAGCACCCTGTGTGCTGGGCCTCCTGTCCTCCCTGACGTTCTTCCTCAGCTGGTGGGACACTCGGGCCTCCTCCCACCCACGGGACCTTTTCTTTTCCTGGCCCCTTC